GCAGCTCAGTCCCGCGGCTCGGCTTCTGCGGCTCAGTCCCGCGGCTCGGTCCTGCGGTTCGGCTTTCGCGCGGTGGGCGACCTTGTTCTCCCAGTAGGTCCTCCGATTCACGCCCACTGGATCCAGAAGAGTTTTGTCTGCAATATTTTCCTGGTTCTTTTTTCTGAGGCTACCGTAACTCCCCTTTTATTAAACTAAATTTTCCGGGACTATCGGTGCGCGCCCTCACTATTCCGCCATCTTGGCTCCGCCCCTTTCCCCATTCTTTCAATGTCCTTTTGTGGTTAGGATACTTTTTTTTTTTTTTTTTTGATAGGCAGAGTTAGACAGTGAGAGACAGAGAGAAAGGTCTTCCTTCCATTGGTTCACCCCCCAAGTGGCTGCCACAGCCGGCACGCTGCTGCCGGTGTGCTGCGCTGATCTGAAGCCAGTAGCCAGACGCTTCCTTCTGGTCTCCCATGCGGGTGCAGGGCCCAAGCACCTGGGCCATCCTCCACTGCACTCCCTGGCCACAGCAGAGAGCTGGCCTGGAAGAGGGGCAACCGGGACAGAATCTGGCGCCCCGACCGGGACTAGAACCCAGGGTGCCAGTGCCACAGGCGGAGGATTAGCCTAGTCAGCTTGAGCTGTATATCAGATGGGACCAAGAGTCCTTAGAAAGAGTTGGGTCGGTATGCAAAGCTGACTGCATTTCTTGCTACAGATTACATTAGGAAATTTATTAGAATTTTTTGTCACCCTTAGTGTATGAGGGTACTTAAAATAATTATGGGAAAACACAATTTAAAAACGAGTTTATATTTGATACAAAAAAATTCGAATCCATGCATAGCTTTTTTGTGTTTTTTAAAGTAAATTTTTCCCTCATTAACACTTTACTTTTTATTTCATTTACAATCTTTTTATTTATATAAGGTGAACACAGTTTTTGTATATCATATGTACAGATCTAGGAGCATAGTGATACTTTCCACCCTACCCTCCCTGCCTCCCACCTACACTCCCACTCTTCCTCCTCCTTCCTTTTTTATTCTTTCCTCTTTCTTTACATTGATCTACTCTCAGTTTATTTTGTAGTCATAAGATTAATCCTCCACTAAGTAAAGGATTCAACAAATAGTAAGAAAAAAGAAAAAACACTGTTCTTCAACAGTGGAGACGAGGGCTGTAAACAATAGTCAATTATCAAAATTTTAATTTGCTCATATACATTACACTTTATTATACATATTATATCAGGGAGAACATATGGTATTTGTCTTTTTCACTAAGTATAATGCTTATCAGTTGCATCCATTTTGTTGTGAAAGACAGGATTTCATTCATTTTTACAGCTGAGTAGTATTTCAATGGATATACAACATTTTAATAGAGTTTTTCTGAGATTTCTCTGGTGTTTATTTGGGTGCAGAAACTGAAGCCCGGAAGGGTTAGGACACCATCCAAGGTCACAGCCACAATGAGAGGCCCCCACCGCCCCCATTCCAAATCTATGTCCTTTCCTCATGGCCCCCACAGTCTGAGTTCCCCAGCCCTGGCAATACCTCCCTGCCTCAAAATAACACCGTGTTGACAGACTGAGGTCTGACATGGCACATGAGAAAACAGGAATTGTAAAGGTCAAGTTCACCGTGGAAGTATTCATGATTTACATCTCATTAATCACTGTGCTTCTTTCAAAATGAACTTATCAGGAGACAGGAAGTTGAAGCTGTGAGAGGCAGTGGAGCGTGAGAATTCCTACTGATTCCTGTGATGGTTTTGAGAATTCCTACGGATTCCCGTGAAGGTCCTGGTGACAATTCTTTGCCATCAACTGTGTGCCCTGCAGTTCAATCCAATTCTGACACTCACCATGCAGAGTAAGTGCAAACCCATGTGTTACAGTTAAAATTTTTCCTGGGATTTCCAATTGCAAGTTTTGAATGTCCCTAAACCACCCCTACTTCTATCCAACCAGCCACAAACTCAAAAGCACTCTATTTCCACCTGAAATGGGAAGACCGCAATCCACTTCTGATGCTAAACACACAGAATTAGTGTCAGCTCCCATAAAGAGCTTGGAACTTCCTAAGAAGTCCAAGTCCCTTTCAGATGGAAAAAACGATTCTCAGGAGCCACCTGCTTGTATTTTCATCTGTTTTCATTTTATTTGAAAGGCACAGACACACACACACACACACACACACACACAGAGAAGAGAGAGAGCGAGAGAGAGAGAGAGAGAGAGAGAGATCTTCCATGCACTATATCTCTCCCCAAATGCCTAAAATAGCCAGAACTAGGTCAGGCCAGAGCCAGGAGCCTAGAACTTCACCCAGATCTCTCACACTGGGTGGCAGGTACTCAGGTATGTGAACCATCATCTGCTGCCTCGTAGGATCTACACTAGCAGGAAGCTGGAGCAGAAAAGGTGCCAGGATTGAACCAAGCACTCTGTCCTAGGGTGCAGGCATCCCAAGTCAAGACTTCAGTGTTTGTAGTAAATGCCCATCCACAACCCACATTTCCAGCTGACCAGCTATAAATTGGTGGGTCCCCCCAATCTTTCAGTCTTAGTAATTCACTACAATGACAGAACTCATTGAAAGTGCTGTACTTATGACTACGGTCTTACTATAATGGATCCAGAACAGGAACAGCCAAATGAAGAACACATAGGCAAGGTCTCCGGGATAGGCTCATGGAATCAGAGTATATCATACTCTCAGTACACAAAAGCATTGCCACTCAGGGAGCTCCAGTGTAGCTACTTGTACAGAGCTTTTCATGATATAGATATGATTGTGTCAATCATCCTTCCAGCTTCCTGCTGAGACCAGATTCCTGATAATGCATATCACAGAAGGCAACAGTGATAACTCAAAGAACTGTATTCCTGCCACCCATATGGGAGCTCTGGATTGGCTCTCCAGCTCCTGGCTCCAGCCAGGTCCAGTTCCAGCTGTTATAGACATTTGGGAAGTGAATCAATAGATGGGAGCTCTCTCGTCTCTGTCTCTGTCTCTCTCTCTGCATGTCTCCCTGCATCTCAAATAAATTAATAAAAGTAAATGTTCAACAAATAAATCATTGGCCATGTGACTGAACTCAACTGTGTCTTCCCTCCACTCTCAGAGATCAAAAGGCTGGAAGTTCCAATCATGTGTTTTCTCTTTCTAATGACCAAATCCCATCCTGAAACTATGTAGGGACCTCCATAGGTCCTCACGATTTAGCAAAGCAAACGCTCAAGTCTCATAAGAAATACCAATGGTTTTGAAGCTGTGTGCCTGGAACTGTAGTCAAAGAGAAGACTTCTACTTCATTGTGCCATTCTTTGAGATGGAGACAACATAACTGAAGGGAAAAAGGGACACAGAAGGAAAGCCAGAGGCTCTCCAACATGAGCACGCAGTTATGAGTGAAAAACAAATGGTCCCTGCCTGAGTCCAGGGGTTCTAGGATGAGTGAGACAGCCCTAGCTCCACCTTTTGCTGACTGAGGGACTTCAAGTAACTTGCTAATCACTCTGGGTGCATTTTCCACATCTGTTAATAGGCCTACCTTCAAAGTCTTGTTAGGGAGATTTAATAAGATGATCACATAGTTGTGCTTAGAAGAATGTATATCATCATCATCATCATCACCATCATAATTTTCAAAGTGGAGAAGGCAGACAACTTTTCTGTGAAATACTTAATTTCCTATAGAATTAGCATCAGTAACTGAGTCATATTATAGTTATGCTATTTAAATTGTGAGTCATAACTTACAGATGAGTCATAAAATCAAGTTATGGATTGACACCAGTATTCTTGAAGACTAAAAGAGAATAAATAGAATAGGCAACAACAGAAAGCTTTGCTTTCTAAAAATTTGGCATCCACTGCATATATGCATATATATGTATGTATGTATGTATGTATGTATATATGCGTGTATGTGTGTATATACACACGCACACATGTTTGGGTTCCACACATATATAGAACAGATATGTTTTACTGGGTCACAGAGGAAAATGCATTTCTTTACCTGAGCTGTTGTTTCAAGGCACTGGACTAAGAGCGAGGCAGAATGGCATCAGAATCATCCTTCACTTTCTAATATTCAAGCACAGGGACTGGCACAAAATGTGTGCTCTATAAAAAGAGATTAATGGGTGGATGCATACAATCAGGCTCTGAATGTCCTCACTGAGCACGAGATATAAACTAATGCTACAGGAAGACAGAAAACATATCAATTTGGGATCTTATTCTCTAGACCTGCAGAATTAAAGCCATCAGAACACAGGAGCAGGTACCATGCAGAGCCAGTTAAGCTCCTGTTTCGGGTGCCTGCATCCCATATCAGAGCACCAGTTCAAGTTTCTAGCATTCTACTTGTGATCCCACTCACTGCCAATGCACCTGGTAAGCTGCAGATGATGGCTCAAGTTCTTGACCCCCTGCCACCCATCTGAGAGATTGGATGGAGTTCCTGGCTTTGGCCTGGCCAAGCCCAGTTGTTGAGGCCATTTGTAGAATGAACCAGTGAATGCAAATTTCTCTCTCTCTCTCCCTCTCTTTCTGTCATAATAATAATAATAATAATAAATAATAAATAAATCTTAAAAAATTTATAAAATCAATGGAGTATTATTTCATTTATTCCTGAGATATGAAATAGGCATCTGCTTATGTTTCTAGCACAATTTTAGGGGTGGAAGATAAAATCCTAAGGAAAAAACTGTCTGGGTGGGACTTAAATTCTAGTGAGGGGACAGAAAGTCAAAATGAGGTATACAGTGAAGAAAACGTCCAACAGTGATTAATTCTACAAGGAAAAATGAGGCAGGAGAAAGAGGAAGGACCCCAGCTGCTCAGTTCAAAAGGAAGGTCAGAGAAGTCTCTGAGGACAGGCAGAGGAAAGCAGTTTGGGCCACACAGCTTGGCCTGAAAAGAGCAGCATGAGCAAAGAAGATAAAAGGGCCCATGTGGAGAAATGTGAGGACAAGCAAAAAGGTTGCTGTGGTTGAAAACGAGAGCGCGAGGAGTTGGTGCACTGCATGTGTGTGTGCATGCATCTACACGTGTGTGCAATTCAGGTACCTAAATGCTATCCATCATAAGATAGGGAAAGAGGAAAATGTTAGCCTTGGAGGAAAAAGAAAATGTGGAGTGAGTAACTGTCATGTCCCCGTGACAGTGTACCTCTTCACTTTACCCCCATGGTGGCCACCACAAACAATAGCTAACATGCTGATGAGGGTCTTACAGACTTGTGTTTGCAAGCACACTCCTCAAGAGCCTGGGAGGCTCACCAAGGAGAAAGCCTGCTCAGAGACTGAAATAATTTGCCCGAACCACTTGATGGAAGAACTTGGTTCTTTAAAGAGCGCTATGTGTTTTTTCTTAGGATGTATTTATTTGCAAGACAGAGTAACAGACAGAGATAAGGAGAAACTGAGGGAGAGAGAATTCTCCCATCTGCTTTTTCACTTCCACAATGGCCACCACAGCCAGGGCTGGGCCTGGCAGGAGCCAGGAGCCAGGAACTCCCTCTGGGTCTTCCACTCCCATGTGAGTGGCAGGGGCCAAAGTAGTTGGACTACCACCCACTGCCCCTTCTCAGGTGCTTTATCAGGAATCTGGGTCAGAAATGGAGCAGCCACAACTCCAACTGGCACTCCAATATGGAATGTCACTGGCCCTGCCCCCACATGTGAATGACTTCATCACAATGTCCCTGCATGGAGGAAACTGGGAGGGGTATTTCTGATTGAGTCAGGCTTGAACATGTCTAGGCTGAAAGAGCAGAGGTTGAAGTAAGGGTCATTGCAAGCAGTGATCATTCCAAGTGGTTTTGCCTAAATTAAAGCAAGGTAGCCAGAGCCTGGGAGGCTGCAGAAGGCAGCAGTATGCATAGGACTGAGGCCCTCAGGCAATTCTGCACCCACTCCCTCTTTGCTACATGCCTGCTGCCTGACAATGGGACAAGGGCAGCTGCCTGGATCGCCATGGCCCGGAGAGGATTCACAAGCAGTGCAGCCACCCTCGAGGAAAGCTGACAACTTTCTGGTCAAAGAGGAAGGGCTAAAGGCTCAAGAAGGCATCCCCTGGATGATCCTGAGTGTTGGGACACAGTGATTGTCATGGGGGTGGCCTAGGAGTTTCAGTGTCCTGTCTTTGTCTGCTCTCTGCTCTGTCTGTTTAAGAACAACCGTCAAGTGTAACCATCACATCTTTGAACTGACGAATCCCAGGTGCCACCCACCAATGTCTCTGTGCACCCTGAAAACCTAGCAGGGGAAGAAACTCCTCACCTGAGTGAGAACAAGCTGCTCATGCACACATGTGCCTGATTACACAAGGAAGGACCACGCCACTGCAGCTCAGACATCCTACACCCACAGCAATATAGAAGGTTCTAGAAGACTAAGAGAAGAGCAATGGGTGCCAGAATGCTCAGTATCTGTTAAGCAATGTCTGGTAGAAATGTATAATAAGGACTTTAACCTTGCCTAAAAAAGAGGCTTGACCTGTGTCCTCAGCTACCAGGAAGTGATCTCCAGGCCACTTGAATGTCATGCCTGCAGGATCGGCTGGTGTGCCTCAGGGGCCTTGAGTCACACTGGACAGTTCAGAGTGTGACCTGGAGAGGTGAGGACTGACCATATTACACAGTGATAACGTGACCTGTGATGGGGCTTCTGGTCATGCAGCATCAGTCAACATCTGGAAGGGCTGAAGACTGAGATCTCATGGACTACTAATCAATCATGCCTGCAGGAGGGATCCCTAAGTAAAATTCTGAACACCAAGGCCCCAGGGGCTTCCCCAGTGGGCATCCGTACCAGGAAGAAGACAACTGGAAATTGTACTTTGTACCTTTCTGGACTATGTCCTACACATTTCTGCCCTCATTTGGTTCTGGTCTGTACCTCTCCCCTCTAATCAGCTATAACTGGAAAGATAACAGCCTTCCAGTGAGTTCTGTGAGTGCTGCTAGTGAATTGTTGATGCAGCAGGGGTCTGGGAACGCTCTAAACCTGCCGTTGATGTCAGAAGTAAGGGCAATTTCTGTAGACAGCTCTAAGTGTACAGTCAGCTGATTCTCTCACTCTCTCACTAAAGGAAGAGGCTTGGGATCCATCCTATCAGACCTCCTCTTGGCTGTCTATGTCATTGCAGGTGAACCACTGGCTCTTGAGTGTCAGCAAAAGTGTTTATCAAATGAACATGGCAGAGCAGAGGAAAACAGCAGCTGAGGTGCCTGGGCCATCCTCTCTGCAGAGCTCTTGGCTCCTGGCTTCAGACTGGCCCAGCTCTGGCTGTTGTGGCCATTTGGGGAGTAAACCAGTGGATGGAAGATATCTTCTCTCTCTCTCTCTCTTTCTCTCTCTCTTTGCCTATACCTCTCTGTAACTGTCTTTTAAAATATAAAATAAAAAGAAGTTCTGGTGTTGTGTTGTATAGAAGGGTCACTATAGACAATGTACTCAGAATTTTTCTGAAAATAACTCCAAGTGAATTTTGAATGTTTTCACCACAAAAAAAATGTTAAATGCTTGAGAATAAAGATATGTTTACCCTGAATGGACATTGCATAGTGTATACACGTATAGAAACATCAAAAATACCCCATTAGTATGTGTATTTTTACGTGTCAATTAAAATAAAATGAATAAAGTGTCATGATGACTTCAAGTAGGCTGCTATGAATCAGTGTTACAATCAGGGAGAGCCACAGAATAAATAATGGGAGTCCAGAAATCATCCACCATACTTGTTCTCTCCTTCTGATCTTATGAAACAAGCCAAGCTCACTGCTAACTTCCAGACCCTGGCTTTATTGTTGCCCATTGTTCTGGAAATAACTACCAAGTCCCTACCTGTGGCTGGGTTTTTCCCATAGTGTTGCTTTCTACTCAAATGTCTTCTCTTTCCAGAGGGTCTTCTCTGATCCCATCCAACTTAGTGCCCCATCCATTACCTCCAACCATATCACTCTGTTTTATCTTCTTCATAGCAACATCATTGCACAAGGTTTCCTGATCACTTCTTGATCTGGATGATCAGCGTCCAACTGTCCCTCTGGAATTAAGTTCCAGAGGAATATGGTCACTAGGGGTAATGGTGGATGGTGCCACTCCTACCTCTACCACTTCATTCCTAAGCCTGTGAATCCTGTCTGTTGGAGAAACAGCACCACATTTGGACACTGATTCAGAACATGCACAGTCTTCTGGAAAACCTTGCCTGAGCTCTACAAGGTAACATCACCTACTTTGTACCACAACTGAGTCTTCAAAAAACCTTTCTATCAGACCATCTGTTCAGGACAGTGGGAAAATGATAATACCAGGGAATTTCAGGAGCATGGATCCATTATCACATTTATTTGGCTGTGAAGCAACACATCAGAAACAATGCTGTGGGTAAGGCACTCTGAATAAGTGGTCAGAAGCACTGCAGGTAAGGAAGGGGATTCAGTAACCAAAGTGTTTATTCCTTTAAGAACAAAACACTGCCCCTTCTACGATGGACGTGTCGCATTGCAATTGATCTGCCATTAGGTCATTCAACCCAGGGAATGATGCAATATCAGAAGTCCAATGTTGGTCTTTGTTCATCACACATCGGGTACTACACAGTGGCTGCAACCAGGTCAGTCTTGGAGACTGGAAGTCGTTTTTACTGAGCCTGACTTTAACCTCAGCCTTGCCACTGTGTCCACTTTGTTCATGGATGCTTGGTACAACGATGGGGCAAGGAAAGGCATCCCTCTGTCTTCAGAGATGGCTTTCAGAGGTGAACTTGCTTCCTGATAGACCTGGAAATTTGTAGGTCTGGAAGCTGTTGGCAGACAACCTGCAACCACAAGGGGGAGCCAGATTAAGGTAAAGCACACACAAAGAATGAAACCAGGCCCTGCTAACCTTACCAGGAAGCTGAAATCTCTCAGTACTGGGCCATCAACTCCTAGGGATGTTTTGCATGAACTAATTACTACTTAAGCTAATTGAATGAGTTTGTCTATTGACTTCAACCAAGCACATCTGCATCCTGCCTAATGCAATTGCATGGCCCCTGGTTTCACCAAACTATTAGCCCTGCATCACCTATTTCATTCATCCATCCATGCATTCAACAAATACATCACCTCCTTTGCATCATCTGCTCACTGGGGACTTGGAATTAAGTCTCCAGTGGTAGCAGGAATATGTGACCCTAGTCTCTAAGCTCAAAATCTAGAAATAAATTAAATAATTTTATTAATTTTTTTTAAAAGATGCAGGGTATGGAAATAAGTGCTGTAAGAATAACAGTATAAGCTATAGAATAAAACAGAAGGCTAATTAATGAATTCTGCTATAGGTAGGGAAAGAAATATTTCTAGAAGCCTCCACAGAAAACATGAAGCTGTTGAGTCTCCCACATAGAATATTCTCTCCAGTTACAGAGGAGGTAAGGTAGTTCAGGCAGAAGAAGTAAGTTCAAGGGCTTAGCATTGTGAAATAGCAAGAAACAGCTCAGGGAATGACAAGGAGCTCAGTATGATAGGAGTGTGTGTGTGAGAGAGAGAAGAGAAATGTTGGCAGACAAGACTGAAAAGTTGTGATGGTGAGGATATAGGCGGCTCTGCATGCCATCATTAAAAACTGTGAAGACCTTTAAGTAGGAATTTTCCATTCTGAAGTTTCTCCCAAAGTCACCCTTCCTCCAGAAAGTCTTCTGTGATTTTTACATTAGCCCTGAAATGCATTTTATCCTCTTTGGTAGCATGCAACGCTAAAGCATCATGCTGAGTTCCAATAGCCAGAGAGGGCCAGAACTAGTGTACTAGTGCCTCACTTCTTTGTCTGTATAAGGGATTCCTTAAGGTTGGTCAACTGTGACTGAGACTCCCTAGTGACTTCAAATTCAACTCCTGTGCTGCTAGCCTTTGAAATAAACTAAGAAAACTTCCAATATTTATTATCATAACGAGGGTTCTTTGTGACATGATTCCAAGGAGATATTGGCAAGAATGAGACACTTATTTTGTTTGATGCATTGAAATTTGCGTTTATTTTATAAGAACATAGCATCATTCTCCTTAGAATTTTACGCCAGGCAGGGCCAGCATTGTGGTGTAGGTTTAAGCCACCACCTATGAATGCTGGCATCACATATAAGTGCTAATTAGAGTCCCAGCTGTTCCACTTCCCATGGAGCCCCCTGCTTATGCTCCTGGGAAGGTAGCAGCAGATGGCCCAAGTGCTTGTGTCGCTGCCACTCATCTGTGAGACCCAGATGAAGCTCCTGACTCCTGACTTCAGTCTGGCCCACCCCAGGCCATTGCAGCTATTTGGGGAGTGAATCAGTGGATAAAAATTCTCTCTCTCTCTCTCTAATTCTGCCTTTCAAATAAATTAATAAATCTTTTTTTAAAAAAGAATGTGGTCATGTGGTTGTGATGCTGGACCAATTGTTAAATGGTTTAAAACTTTTTTATTACTTCCTTCAATAGATTCCTGATGATTTTTCCCAGGCCCTGAGAGATTAGCAAATGCCACAAGATGATGTGTCCCTCCTACTGCAGCCTGGCTGGTCTGGTAAAGACTCCCTGGTCCTCAGCTTCTTTCCTGTCCAAGTGCCTTTGTTCGAGACAAATGTCCCTCCTTCTGCTTGCCCCTTGGCTCCAATAGGTAAATTCCAGATACAGACATTGAGCAGTTAGGGTCAAGATTTTAACAGATGCAGCCTCACAGGTATAAGTCAGATGCAATCACTTTTTCAAGGAAGGCAGAAACTGCATGTGGAAGGTGTATGTGCATCAGTAATTGCAACAGATAAATTCTCATATATTCAATATGGGAGATTGTGCCAATGATTTCCAAAAACACACTGAGCTACTATTCTATAAATTCTATGCTCTCATAGTTTGTTCTGCAATTTATACTTAATTCCCAGACTGTTTAAATGAGCTAAGCTTCCTTTTACAGTTCAATTATATCATAAATATATCTTTAAGAACATTTACAATATGCTTTAGAGTTGACAACGATTTCATCGGTGACAGCTGATTAGATCATCACATTAAATCAGTGGCTGTGTTGCTCTTATTCTTCTTTTACAGAGGAAGAAACCCCGAGAAGCACACTGTCCATTACCACACAGGTAAGTGACAGAGTCAGAGTCCAGGGCTCCCTGTTTTCCTCTCTGTGCCATGATGGCTCATCCTCCTGCCCTGATGTCAGAGTTCAGATCTTATGCCACTATTCTTTGCTGCCTCCCTGTTCTCCACTACTTTTATCTCCAAATATCTTTCACCTTCCACCTAGCTTGTTCCATCAGAACCAGGGTCCCACTCCTTTGTCAGCCTCATCCCACACTGAGCTACCTACCTCACCCTTCCCACCCACACCAAGACGGTGCTCTCTTGCCTCTTCTTTACAAGTGGCCTCTCTCCTCTGCTCACTAGAAAATGTCCAGATGCACTTTTTACCAAAACCAGCATCATTCATGAACCAGCTTTTGCAAAGCAAGTCCTGAGCTGTGGTTGCAAAGACAGATAGGATGCAGGGTTTTCTCTAAAGAGTGCATAATCTAGTTTGGGAAGAAGTCAGAAAAGGTCATAGCATTATTCTATTGCTCTTCCTAAACTTTGGATGCAGATTGAGAGATTACAGTTTAATCAGCTGAGAACGATGACAATCTTGGCCAAATACCCAATTCACATTCAATGCTGATCAACTTTCAGCACCCCATTAACATCTCAGTGACAATTTATCCCTAAGCCTAATTAACATCTGCATGACATTCTCTACACTCTAGATGAGTGCCCTCCTACAAGCAGTGCATTTTTCAAAGGGTTTAAGCAGCTAAAATACTCTACCTGCTTTATAATGAGACATGTCCTCTTTATACTTCCTTTGCAAAGTGGGCGGGGTTTGATCCACATTCATTAACATTCTTTGGATCAGTGTAACATGCATTTGAAAAAGAGGGGGCTCCATGTCCATGATCCAGAAAGATTGGGTGGGCTTTGTGGTGCAGCAAATTAAACTGCCTATTAGAACAGCTACATCCCATATCAGAGTAGTGATTCAAATCCCGGCTACTCCACTTCTAACCCAGCTTCCTGCTAATGTACCTGGATGATGGCATAAGTACTTGAGTCCCTTCCATCCATGTAGAACTGCTTGGATTTCCCAGCTCCTGACTTCAGTCTGGCCCAGCCCCAACTATTGTGGCCATTTGGAGATAAACCAGTGGATGGAAACTCTCTCTCTCTCTCTTTCTCTCTCTCTCACTGTGTCACTCTGCCTTTCAAATAAATCAATTCTAAAAAAAATGAAAGAACACAATGTCCCTTTCAAAGTTACTGTCTTGCTATTATAACTCAACCCAGCTTAGAAAAATCTTGGAAGGGCTGGATCCCATTCCAGTGCAGTTTGCTATGCAAGGACTCCTAGGTACAGACAGTGATTGCCTTTAGAGACAGCAGGGTGTAATCGTATATGGAAGAAAGGATAGTTCTTCTATAAACAGCAATGGCCTACCCTTTTAAGGATAGTGGGTACATCTCTATTATGATTTGATGCATTGAGAATTTGGGCACCTGCCTAAGCAAAGATTTTGTTGGCATAAGCTCAGATACACTGAACAACTATTTTCCTTATAGCCTAAAGATATTTTTATATAGTAATTTTAAAGTCCTTGTGTTCTGACTAAGACCCATTGGTCAGATCTGAAATTTCCTATCTCTGGCATCATGCCAGCACTCAAAAAGTTTCAGATTGTGGGGCATTTCAACTTTGGCTTTTCTGATTAAGAATGTGCAAATTGTATGGGCAAGGAATAAAAGGAAAAAGAATGGGCACATAGGAGTTTGTAATTAGGGAGCCTGCTCTAGTCTGAAGCAGGGAAAGGAGGTGAGAAACAGTTTTAAGCTGAAAACTTTCAAAAAGTAAGAATTGTGCTGGAGATGGGAGAGAGTTGCTTTGAGAAGGAAAAGCATTGTCGAAGGCCTTGGGGCAAGGAACAGCTTGGCATATTCAAGGATATTCACAGTTGGCAGTGGGGTTAGAATAGGTTGCCAGGGGGCAGCAGTGAGCCCTGGCCTGAAGCACTCAGCTGGAGCCACATCAACATAAGGTCTTAAAAGCAAAGTACAGATTTGGGACTCAATCCTAAAGAAAGAGAATAGGATGGAAGGATTTAGAGAAGGAGATGCTATGATCTGATTGCCTTTCCAAAAATAGATGGTGTAGGGGAAGGAAAGTCTACTCAACACTGGTTGGGTCACTAGATAGGTCTAAAAATAGAAGAGACAGAGATTTAAAAGAGAATGTATAAAAACTTACTTAATAGAAGTTTTACATGCAATGGGAGCCTTCAGAAGTGAAGACCCAAAGACCCAGGACAGTTGTCTATTTTTATCTTGGGTTCAAGGAAGAACGGACAGCCAAGTAGAATCATGATTGTACTAAAGCAGTTTGACCTAATAATAGTCTGAAGAGGGGGAAACCTAGCAAGGAGTGTCTGAGCTGATTTATTTGGCCTCTCTGCTTGGCATTCCTTTCCCAGGATGCAGAGCAGGACCCCTCTGCAACAAGAGTGTTTTGTCCTTCTATCAGACAAAGCGGATCAGAGAAGTGATTTACAGCCAGCTCCTACACAGACAGGTGGGGGAACGTCAGAGTAATGTGAGTGGTTTGCGTGTATGTCTGTGTGTGTGTGTGTGTGTGTGTTTATGGCTTGTTTTGGGGAAAGAGGGCTCTAGTGTCTATTGCTCATAGAATTCTAGATTCTGTGGCCTGCCTTGAGTGGAGAGAGAGAAGCAGGAGAAACCAGAGTGGAAGAACACCAGAAAGGTCTTGCTT